GTAAATGATTGATAAAGTCCAAAATCCAGAGCCATTTATCCTTATAGAAACGCATCAAGACAATCGTGGGCGCCGTTCTACATTGCACACAGAGCAATCACAGGGTATTAGAGTGACATCAAGGCAGTTCTTTAAGCTAACGTGATAAATCGACGTAAAACCTCACCTCATACTTTGGTAAGGCAGAGTCTTTGGGTGGTTCTGCAGGTACAGCATCGACAAACACTCCAGCAGTACCATCGACAGAGGTGAGATCGGGCAGACCTCCGTCGCCACCTCTACCACCAGAGAGACCGTTACTGTCACCACGATTTCGTCGAATAAGGAGGAGGGGCCGCCGGCCAAAAAAGGGAGCAAGGGAAAAGCGTGGAATACCAGAGAGTGAGAAGTCAGGCAAAAGACCATGGCGGTTCGTGATTAGGAGGTAACGGTGGCAGTCCCATACCATACCAATGCAGTATGCCTTGAAAGCAAGAATGAGGCAGGAGGTGGAAATGAGGATCAGCGACACCGAGGTCGAGTTCAAGTGAACTGAGGAGGTCGACACGCCTTCCTAGAGGGCAGATGTGAAAAAAAAATAGGGGGGTGAAGTAACCCCAAACTTACAATATTTGCAAATCGACAGCATGGGTGACAGTCGTTTACAATATGACATTAAAGAAATAAAAGCATAGCAACACAATTTATAACTTGGTTCACACACTAAAAGCCTATATAACTGCAAGCGCCTCACTTTTGGTCCCAATATGAGGGCCATATTAAACTATTCATCACCAAATATTGAAACACGGATGCTTGTGAAATGTGCGAATAATGATTCTAAAATCAACCTACTCTAAAAAATTAGAAAAATCAATATGATCTTCAGATTCCTAGCATGATAGCAGACACTCATGCATTCACCCAGTGCTTATTCAGCGCCAGATCAATATCTTACAGTTCGGCGGTGATTATAACTTAAAGGCAACAATGTCTAAGAGTTAACTGATCAGGTTAGAAAGTAATGGTAAGCAATAGATGAAATGGATCACTGCGTCAAAGAGGCGAACATAACTGCTCCCAATAGTCACAGCTGCAATTCAATTGAACAACATTATTAGCTTTCAAGTAATATTTTTGAGCTCAATTCTGCATAAACAATCGTAGCTGAAAAAGATCTATGCAACGAGACTGGAAAACTACCAGAAACAGCCTTATCTACCACTTTATAATCGGTAAGTGACATGCTTGGGGCCAATGACTGGCATATAACGCAGAATTTCTGCCAAATTATCCTGCAGAATATCGATCATGCGACCAGAATGTATAGCAACACCGAACAACCAACCTGACTTGCAATTTTAAATCTGAGCCAATGGCTAATGTCCGAGGCTGACGACATGTACCCCAACATGCAGATTAGAGCAACAACGAAATCGAAGACTTGTAGACAAAAAAATGGGAGTAAATGAGCAGGCTGACGGGAAATAACACCGTGAACGAGCAGGTAACCGAAAGCAAGAGAGATGAGAGCGAGACAGAGAGAGAAGTAAGTGTTTGTCCGTCGGTCCACACACCGAGGCACCGACGAAGACTTCGGTGTAGTGATTTTAACAGCTTCGTTCTTCGGAGTTGATTCAACATCTCCTTGTGATGCAGCCCCATCTACTTTAGCATCCTTTGGTGAATCATTGCTACCTCCAATGAGGAGATTAAATAGTCGGCCTGGCTTAGTAGAATCTTGAGATGCTTCAAAAATTGCTCTATGTGATATATTTTCAGTACGGAAACGTCCAGTAAAATCCGAATGAGACTGGTGAAATATTGTAAATCCGGGTATGACGTGCATAAGCATATAGAAAATGTCTGTCGCTAAAACAGATGAGAATCGATAAAAGCAGGACTCAAAGGATGCAATGTTAAGAAAAACATCTCCTCTACACACTTAATTACTTACGTGGACTTCGCGGCTGACAATTGGTAGTAGCTACGGTATCGAAAGACTTAAGGGTAGCTACATCATGTTTCAAAGCCGCCATAAGTAGAGTAGAAACCACCACCAACTGCAATAATATGTGGAGAAGGCCCAATATGACAGTCCCTGTACGTACGTGAAGGTACATACAGCATCTAAACTGTTCATCTTGTCGAAAAATATCCGGCATTTTATAAACTACCCGCCCCTTTGGATGTGCATAAATAAACAAGCTCAATATTTTTTCCAAAATTTAAGTTCGCTATGAGTTCCTTGCCTAAGTCTAAATAAAAAAATTTTGGAAAAACATGTTGGAAGTAAATGCACGTATTTTGAAGTGGGAATATGTATCTCTGATAAGCAGATAGTTTTAGTTGCTTTGCTACTTATAAGCATAGTTATTTCATGAATATGCTTTTGATCCGAGCATAACATCTTATCGCTGCAAGGATAATTGCAAAAAATAAACAAGCGCATTGCAAATAATGTTTCGAAGACCTTTATTATTCAAATAATTTTTAACGCATATGTTTAGCAAAACCCATGGACGGTAACGGCTAATCTTTTGCCCTTTGATGCGTTCGTGGGTTCTCACAGCCCATTCCCAGCCTCTCAAAGCTCTGACTTCATGAATGGATCGCTTGTACCATGTTTTATAAGGCATCCCATACACAATAGAAAGGGCATGATTTTGGGTAAGACAGCGACCCGACGTTACTTCGCGTCCTTCATGCTCAGGATGCGTGTTTGAATTGAGCAGCAGCGTCTACTTTATAAGGGCAACTCGATAACATTAGTATGCATGAATCAGCATTGCTTCATTGCACCGTTAAAATAGTTGTGTTTGTATTGGCTTAGCCTCACGATTTCCATCCTATCTTTGCAGTTCTTTTGGGATCGTTATTCTTAAGACCACTTTTTTACCCTTTTCTTATTTTGGATTATTTACTCGATTGTGTACCTGGCAATTTACTGACGCACCATATCTTCGTTAAGTTCAATCGATGTAAATCCTGAGTCATGATTTAAGGGGCTTGCCCACCATTTTCTGTTCCTTAACATTGTGGACACCATAGCTTCCGCACCCCTTGACCGCTTCAAAATTACCTCAAGTACTTGTTTGTAACTTCACGGGTGTTCTAGTGAGCTAAATTATCTTAATTAAGCTACTACGACAAAGTACACGAAGTCTTCACAATAAAAAGTAAATTCAGTGTCGATCCCGCGTTGTTTTTTTTATGAGGCACAGTTTCCTTCCCGTAATAGAAAGCAAACACAAATTGGAAATAAATGAACACATTCGAAGATCTGTCCACTGCCTTTATAAATCAGCTGTAGTTTTTCTAGAACACCTTACATTCGGCGTAAATTACTTGCTTTTGAATTCTTCAGGTTAAGCTCTCGTTGCTCTTCTCCAACTTCCTAGTCCTATGAAAGGAAGGTTGTGTTGTGGCCAATAGGAAAGCTGTGGCAGAAGGAAGCATAGAGGAATGGCTTACGATGAGTCAAACAAAGGCAGGCATATAACGATGATTCAGCAGTCACCCGGGCTTGTTTACGGTATGCCACCAAAGAGGTATGATCATGACTTTGCTTACTCTCCCGTGTATGACAATGTCATATTGAAAAGGAATCAAAATTCGATTGGCTACGGCAATTCCGTGCCGCAATCACCTGTCAACACTGCACGTAAAGAGGAAATTTGAAGGATTCAAACGTGGTAGAACACAGAAGAGGGCTTGGATTTAATTTGAGTCCTAGCATTAGACTCTGCACGTTCGATCCGTCCAATTAGAGGAGCTATATCAATTAAAACAGATATGGAAATGCATTCAATCGCTAAATTTTGATGCTGTGTCGGAAGGCGAAGATTGTCCCCGTTGTGTGCGCTGTAGTTCGGTGTATTTACGTCCATGTCAAAGCATCACAGTTTTACCACCGCATCATCTACGCAAATTCTAGAAGGAAAAGCAGGGATTCATTGACTAATCAGGGAGGACTCTTTTAAATGCTACAAATGACGATTAGGACAATAGAATCTTATTATGAAATGAAATCATGCTAAACAATTTTATGGTTAAACCCTTTCCAGTTCTAGATGAGACCCATTAATCTAGATCAAAAGCTCTCTTTGGTAGTTCCGCGCCTCCGTGCTGATTGGAATTAACCGTAGAATAACTGTATCTGATTCCCACAGTAGCGGCGGTTGTGTATTACAGCACCGTTTTTCCAACGCCATCAGGATCGTAATTTCTGCTAATAATACCTGTTTAATTGATTTATTACAGACACAAAAAAGGCTTTGAATTTGTTCACTGGCTTTAGATTCTCACGTTTGAGTGTAGATTGCCGCATCTGGGTTAAGCCTGTAGACTGGGGAACCTTCAAGCTGACAAAGAAAATGCAGACTTCGTTCAGCGACAACTGCCTAAGAAACTCTCGATCTCGAGGCGAGAACGAAAATTTGGGAATTGGCATTCGTTCTAGCCAAGGGCCAGAGCTTAGTCACCGTAGCGCTGGCCTTAAAGGCAAGTCGGACTGCACGAAGTGTGGCGTGTTTTTGATTGGTTTGGGCGCTATCGATTGCAGTAACAGCTTTCGCTCGCGCGCAGGTGCACATACACGCGCACGGTAAACTGAATCACGCTGCCACGCGAAATGTGCGTGCGCATGTGAGTGGGTGGGCATCGCCGCATGCCAGTGCCCATATACTCCGTGTTGCTATGGTGCGAGAAGAAAGACTCGTTCAAGTTGTTGCAAGCGCACACGCAAGCGAGCTTAGCAACGCGAGAAAATTGCCTCAGTCGTTACTCTGGCGACACCTTGTTTAGGTCTTGGTGAGGCGGAAAATGTGGATGGAGCTGTGGGTATTGTGTTGGAAGTGCGCTTGATGTGTAGAGGATAGTGATTACCAATGGAAGTGTAGACTTCGATTTCGCTAGTAGGCCAAATGCAGCCAAGATTCCGACTGGTTTGCAAGAAATTTGTGTGGTAGTAGTTTACACTGATTAAATGCTCAAGAAACGTTTCTACCTTCTAATTTTGCATCAACAAGTAGTCCAAAAGGGGATGAGTTTCGCTGCTTCGCTCTAATTTTCTTTGGGAAAATAGCTTTTAATTAAAGGATTAGCATTTTGGTCCTGATGCCACTTTGTACTGGACTAAAGGGGTGTGCAATATAACCACAAATTGTTCAACTATGCAATTAAGCATTGGTTATTGTAAAGTTGGAGGAAAATCGGTGTCGACGTTTTCTATGTAACGTAAAATACGGACGCAGCCAACGCTAAACATCCTTGTGATCGCGTTTCCTCATGTAAAAGGGTCAACATCCTCAGGAGGTCGTGGCCTGAGCCGCATTCGCATTTGAACACTACGTAAGTTTAGAGGTTAAACATTGATTCTAACGAAAGATAGACGTGTTGATACAGGGATTCGCTACTTTGCGCAAAACACTTGCGTTATAAGACATAAATATGAATTCTTAAAGTAGCACTTGCAAAAACTGTAAAATATGCACAGCAAGCTTTGTCGGTTGTCGGTTTTTTGAGGGCAGCCCAGTTAAACACACTCAACCAAGTCAGTGTCTTTCACCAAAATCTCCGTATTAATGGGCATAATATGGTAGAACTGCTTCAGAGCAGTCGCATTAAGTGACGTCAAAGTCAATGTTCGGTTATTTGGCCTTTCAGAAATAGGTCAGACGCTTGAGTATTCCAGCAGTTCCCAGAAAATGCACATTAAACAGCTTTAACGATGACTTCGAAATGAACCTGATCCCCGTAGACTCCAATGTGACTAAAGTATTGCATCGACCGTAAGAAAGATAGCAAAGATCAGATTCTTGTAGATAAACCGTTGAGGGACAGCGTACACTCTCCCAAGTACTAATGCCCCTTCTCAACTAGATTGTGCAGGCCCAATAGTGAGGAATTCAAAGTAGAAGACAACAGAAACAACATAAAGATGTTGAATTTTAATAATGATGGAAATAAGACACGAAGTTGACACGAAAGATGGGAACATAAGAGAAAATGAGGAGTACATTGGAGGAAGAGACAAGTAAACTATTGATAAACACTTGAAGCCGTGATATCAAATGATCATTTAGTACTCCTCGCCCTCCTCTTCGCCTTCGGCTTCGACAGAATCGATTCCAACCTCCTCGTAGTCCTTCTCCAGAGCGGCAAGATCTTCACGAGCCTCAGAGAATTCACCTTCTTCCATCCCTTCACCAACGTACCAATGGACGAATGCGCGTTTGCCATACATAAGATCGAACTTGTGGTCAAGACGAGCCCAGGCTTCGGCGATCGCAGTGGTATTACTCAGCATGCACACAGCTCGTTGAACTTTGGCTAGATCTCCACCGGGGACCACGGTAGGTGGCTGGTAGTTGATACCAACCTTGAAACCAGTGGGACACCAGTCCACAAACTGAATGGTTCTCTTCGTCTTGATAGTAGCAATGGCAGCGTTGACGTCTTTTGGAACTACATCTCCACGGTAGAGCATGCAGCAGGCCATATACTTGCCATGACGAGGATCACACTTAACCATCTGGTTGGCCGGCTCGAAACAAGCGTTGGTGATCTCTGCAACACTCAGTTGTTCGTGGTAGGCCTTCTCGGCAGAAATGACGGGAGCATAGGTAGCCAATGGAAAGTGAATGCGAGGGTAAGGAACCAAGTTCGTCTGAAACTCAGTGAGATCAACATTGAGAGCGCCATCAAAACGCAGAGAAGCAGTGATTGAAGAGACGATTTGACCAATTAGGCGATTCAAGTTAGTATAGGTCGGGCGTTCAATATCGAGGTTGCGACTAGAAGAGGGTATTTAGAGTACGAAATACGATTAACTTACCGGCAGATATCATAGATGGCTTCATTGTCAACCATAAATGCACAATCGGAATGCTCCAAAGTGGTATGAGTTGTCAAGATGGAGTTATAGGGCTCAACAACAGCCGTAGAAATTTGGGGAGCCGGGTACACAGAGAACTCAAGCTTGGATTTTTTGCCGTAGTCAACACTGAGACGTTCCATCAGAAGTGAGGTGAAACCGGATCCGGTGCCTCCACCAAAGGAGTGGAAAATCAGAAAACCCTGAAGGCCAGTACACTGATCGGCCAATTTACGAATGCGATCTAACACGAGATCAACGATTTCCTTGCCAATAGTGTAATGCCCACGAGCGTAGTTGTTAGCAGCATCTTCCTTGCCGGTGATGAGTTGTTCTGGGTGGAAGAGTTGACGGTAGGTTCCACAACGAACTTCGTCAACCACAGTCGGTTCAAGATCGACAAAGACTGCACGAGGAACGTGCTTCCCAGAACCGGTTTCACTGAAGAAAGTGTTGAAGGAGTCGTCACCACCTCCAATGGTTTTGTCGCTTGGCATTTGCCCATCAGGCTGGATTCCATGTTCCAGGCAGTAGAGTTCCCAACAGGCGTTGCCCATTTGGACACCAGCTTGACCGACATGAATACTGATACATTCACGCTAAAAGAAATACCACTATCTATGGGACAAATGGACACTTACCATCTTGTAAAAACTTGGAGAACCTCGAAGAACAAACGGAACCCGAGGACGATTGCGAGCCTACGCAAAGTGGCATGAGGACTGCGGTCGCGTAACTTTTATACCCCGTCTAAAGTTTCAACTTTGATTGGATGATGAGGAACCAATGGGTAAAGACCTGGCTGTGGTATGGCGCAATCCGTGTGGGCTTTAAGCGTCTTATTACTGCCACAGGTCAGTTCTGGCATTGGCTGAGATCGATTCACCGGATGTTTCAACATAAAATCTAAGCCCAAGTGAAGATTCATGAAAGCGAATCTATTCCAAGTTGGAATAAGGTGGGTTGAAAAGGTTGAGTTAGTGTTCCTCCGTCGAACTGGGTTCGGGCTGGCATGTAATGCCTAAACAATTGCACTACACGATAAATAGCAGAAACTTACTACAAACGACTATCATTATAACGAACAATAGTACGGGAGATGACGAAAACACTAGATCGTCATTCATTTGTTTTGAGGAACAAACCACAATTAAACTGACAAGTAATTTCCCCATAATTGTTTAAACACGTAGTAGCTAATGCTTGCTTTTAGCATTAAGCTAGAACTTCGCGTTCCACGTACCCTAAATGAGACACGACTCAATAGCGTTGGAATACATTTAGAGCATTAATTCAGCCTATTTCAAGTTTACTTTAGAATGGTAGGAGTGCGTCGGGACAAGTATTACATTGATGCTCGGTCCTTTGAGCTCTGGAGTTATCAATTGTCGTGCAAGTATAAGAGTTCCGTGCGTGCCATTTGCTATGAGTAGTCAATGTAAGGCGACGGCAAGTGGTGATGATTTAGGAACACAAAATCTAATCAACCAAAGCCTGTTATTCACGGTTTAGCCTACCTTGATTGGCAATCAAACCGTTACTCCTTAGGCACTTTTGACCTGCCTAGGTTTGCTCTGCGGTTAACCTAGAAGTTAGGTTTTCACTCTTGGGTCAGTGAGCACGGGTAGAACTGCGGCTTCCATTAATTGCTAGGCGGTTGAG